TCCCCTCCTGAACCTTTAAGGCACATCCAGGAGAAGCTCAGGTGATGGCACATCTGTCCCCACCACAGTTCTAATCCTACAGATGGATTTCTGGAGCTTCCTAGCTCAGAAACACTGGTTCACACATTGGTAATTTTTTTTATTATTATTATTATTATTTTCCATGAGTTTGGCCAATCAATTTTTACCTCCTGCTTGCAGGGACATGCACAGCTGAGCAACCTGCTGTGAGATGAGCCATGTCCTCTTCTTAGCTGTTCACCTGCCACCTCCTGTGGAAGGTTTTACCTGTCCTCTCCTGTGATGACACCTGTAAAATCCAGCTCTCCAAAAGCTATTTTCTTTGCAAGCCCATTCCTGATACAAAGCCCACACCAAGCAACAGCAACCCCTTTATCAGTGTTGAGCAGCCCTGCTGGTCCTTGCATTTCCAAGTTGGGGCAGCGCTGGGACATGACTTTGTCCCTTTGTTCTTCCCACCTCTCCCATGTCTGCAGCATTCCTGCTCCATGGACTATTCAGGACATGCTGCAAAGCAGGGACCTTTTACAACAAAGATGCCCTTGCCAGCTAAGCCTGCTCATGAATTCTGGCTGTACACTGGGAGCCAGGGCCAGAATTTAGATTGGACTGGCTCCATTTGCATTGGTGCATTTGTCTTTTTTTTTTTTTTCCTTGTTTTGCTTTATTTTTTTGAGCTCTGAACACTGGAACCAGCAACTCTGAACAATCCAAGTGATATCACCTTCCAGTGAGTCATGGGGAGGGCAGGGTGGAGAAGGGCAGGCGAGGAGAGATCATGAGATTGTGTCAGCTCAAACAACCTAAAAAAAATGGGAAATGTGTTTGGATACATGGAGGGCAGATTGCATCCACTACCTCCCACCACAGAGTGTCACAGTTTTAGTTTGGGGAATTATGCCCATAGTTCCAGAGATTTTTACCTGCCTGGTTTTCCCCAAATATGAGCATTAACAAGAAACAATAAAAAAAATTAACAAGTAACAATAAAAAAAAAATTAAAAAATTGTATGAGCACATACTTTATTGGCTCGACTTCTGCATCACCAGAAAACTGCAGTTCAATCTTCAGATCATGCTTAGTCTGTAACTTCAGTCACTTTGCAAGCTGCAAACAGGCTTTTCCTGAGCTCACCTGCAGCCTTCTTAATTTCTGAATGGTCCTGAAGACAATTATTTGGGGTTACAACAGGAGTTATTTAAAGCTACAACAAGGCATAGAGCCCTTGCCCTGACCCAGCTCTGTCAGATTCAGATCTTGCAAGGTGTGGGATGATCTTTTTATAAAATGGTGGAAGGAATAAAGTCCCCAGATGGACTATTAAGACCCCAGCATTATTTTTTATTATAAATTCTGATGGTTGTCCCTAAGGTGGGTGTCACCATCTCCTCCTCCCTCACCCCATGAGGTGCTGAGCTGGATGCCCAGGAGAGGTGCCCAGAGGGCTGATTTTGAGTGCTCAGCAAATTCTCCTCTCTAAACAAGACCAGGTTTCCTGTTGGATTGTGACAGATCCCACAGAAATCATATTTCCTCTTCTTTGATGTTGCCCTGTACTGGCCTTGATGCTTTTGGGGCCAGATCACCCAAAAATTGCTCTCACACTAAGATAACAGACTGAAGTGCTAGTGCTTCACTCTGTGTTGCTATTATTCATCTTTTACTCACATTTCTGGACCTTGGACACATCCTTCTGTGTTTCCTGAGTGTCCATCACTCAGTACTGACTTTCACTTATTTATATAGAAAATGTCACAAAGCCCAGCCCAAAAACCCTCAAAGTGTTGTTGCATATTCGAGTATATGAAAGCAAGAGCTGATTTCTTTGATTTTTCACTCATTCCTTTAAAAAACCTCTTAAATTCTCATATGTGGAGCTTCCCAGTGCCCATCAGAAGATTCTGATGCTCCAGCATGTGCAGAGGAGCTGTTCTGGGGATTCCCTGCCCAGTTCTGTTCATCCCAGGGTGAGGAAATGAGGAAACTGTGGTTGCACTCAGGACACGTCCCTTCGAGGGGCACGCTAATTTGCATGGTAATGAGGATGCTAATGAGCCCCTTGTCTTTGTATGTACACAAGGTTCTCACTGGGTGAAAACCAGCCAGAGTTGAATTTCAGAGAATTCATAGCTTCTCTTCCTTTTCAATTTGTGTTTTCTATCTGGATGCAAAAGACAAAGCACATAGTACAGAAACTGCATTGTGCCCTGAACTGCTAAACACCAGATAGAAATTATTATTTTAGCAATCATCAGGCTGTTTAGGCAACACCAATCTCTTAAGTAGCCTGGCTCAAGCAGTAATTACCAGCTGAATTTAAAAAGAGACCCTTCTTTTATTTGCTTTGTTACCATAGTTTTTTTGTTTTCTTTTCCTCTCTCTTGAAGCTAAAAAAAAAAAAAAAATGCTCCACAGAGCTGCAGCTCCTCTGAGAACTCAGAGCACGCTGCAAAAAGGGTTCAGAGCAACACTGTGGGGAGTTCCTGGTCATTAACCCTTTCTCTGTGGGGAAACTGAGGCAGGAAACCTCTCCCTGACAAGGGAATAAGCAGGATTGCATGTTCAGTTCATCTTCCTAGGTCCAATTTCCTGGCACATCCATGGTTCCTGTAGGTCCAGAGGGGTGGGCTGGGGGCACTGTGAAAAAAGGGAGAAGGTAAAGCCATGGTGGGATGAAAACTGGAGGTGTTGTGTGGAAGGCAAAGGGGGATGGCCCCAGCAGCACTGGGGGGGTTCAGAGCTCCTGGCTGTCACTCAGGGAGTTTCTGGTGGGGTTAAAATCAAACCCTGTGATTCCAGCAGCCCAGAGCCAACCTGGAAATCTCAGCACTGTCCCCAAGAGAATAAATTCCTTTTATCTGGAACAACCAAGGTGGGGTCACTGCCCACAGAACTGAGCCCTGTGTTAAGGGAGCTGACAGGGAAGGTGGAGAGAAACTATTTATGGGGGCATGGAGTGACAGGATGAGGGGGAATGGCTTCAGACTGACAGAGAGCAGGGTTGGATGGGATATTGGGAAGAAATTGTTCCCTGTGAGGGTGAGGAGCCTGGCTCAGGGTGCCCAGAGCAGCTGTGGCTGCTCCTGCATCCCTGGCAGTGCCCAAGGCCAGGCTGGACAGGGCTTGGAGCAGCCTGGGACGGTGGAAGGTGTCCCTGCCCATGGCAGGGGGTTTGGGACAAGCTGATCTTTCAGGTCCCTTCCAACCCAAACCATTCCATGATCATTGCTCCATTCAAAGCCACCACCAGCAGCTGCTCATTCGGCTGCAAATGCCTTAATTTCCAGGAAGGCCCTGAGCCTTCCCAGCACAGAGATGTCAGTCCTGCTCACAGCCCTCATTCCATGCCCCCTTCAGCACACACTGACAGCCAGCCTGAGCTCCTGCCTGCTTTGGGTGGGCCTGCAGCAGATATTTAATCTGCTTTGCCTGCCCAAAATGCTGGGATGTGTCTGTGTTCTCCCACACACCCGTGGTGGAGCTGCCCACGTACCTAATGTTGAGTCTGGCTGAAATTTCTCCACTTTTTAGGGATGGGTGTACAAAAGCTTTGCTGGAACCAGTTCTCTGAGCTTCCTGGAGGATGGTTTTCCTCCAGCAAACAGCCTGGGGAGATTTTATGTAGTGTCAGTCATGAATTTCTGGCTCCTGGCACCTGTTTTACTGTTTTGACACCAGGCTTAGGAGCGCAGGGGAAAATAATAATGATATCTGGAGTTAATGTTATTTACTAAAATACAAATTAACGCTCAGTCACATGGTGGCATGATTTGTCATCTGGAGCTAAAATTAAAAGAAATTAAGGCTGAGTCAGAAAGTTATTTCAGATCCAAGTGGGGAATGCTGTTCCGAGGCCATGTGGGAGCAACACTGACATCTTCTGGCTCAAAGTAAAAAATTATCTCCAGCTTTTTCATGGAGAAAAACACTGAGAAACTCTGCAAAAACCTAAGGAGGGACTGGGTGGACAAAAGTGTTTTAAAGTATCAAGGACAAGCTTCGGGGCAGTGGATATTGTCTGAGCCCATTTAACAGCCTCCCTTAGCATCACCACAGAATCTGAGCAGAGGGTGTGTGACACTGACGACCCAAAATACACGAGAGGAGGACGTGAAGGGGTCTTGCTCTTCTCTCAGTGCAGGTGACAGGGCTGTGGCCATACTTTTATGCTGAAGTCCATAAGTCTGGAGGCAGTAAATTACCTGAAAGGCACATTCCACCAGGCCAGGTTGCTCCAAACCCCATCCAACCTGGCCTTGGACAGTTCCAGGGTGAGGAGACACAATTTCTCTGGGAAACGTGCTCCAGGGTCTCAGCACCACCACACCATCAACCTCTTCTACACATCTCCCCTCTTCCAGACTGGATTAACCCCCAGCTTTGTGACTGACCTACATAAGGGCTCCCTGGGCTGTTTGCTGGAGGAAAACCATCCTCCAGGAAGCTCAGAGAACTGGTTTCTGTGACTGTGTTCACAGGGGTCTTAGGACGAGGGAAGAGATGAGGATCTGACTCCATGTTACAGAAGGCTTGATTTATTATTTTATGATATATATTATATTTAAACTATACTAAAAGAATAGAAGAAAGGATTTCATCAGAAGGCTAGCTAAGAATAGAAAAAAAAAAGAATGATAACAAAAGCTTGTGGCTCTGACTCTCTGTCCAAGCCAGTTGGACTGTGATTGGTCATTAATTAGAAACAACCAACATGGGCCAATCCCAGATGCACCTGTTGCATTCCACAGCAGCAGATAATCATTGTTTACATTTTGTTCCTGAGGCCTCTCAGCTTCTCAGGAGGAAAAATCCTAAGGAAAGGATTTTTCATAAAAGATGTCTGTGACAGGTTCCAGCCAAAGCCTGGCTATAATTTCCCAAGGAAACTCACTTCCTTGTCAACCCCCGACACCTTATCGCCCTACTCCACCACATCCTTCCACTTCCTCTAACCATGTTCCTTTCAATCTCTCCCAAGGCTCTTTCTTCCCGTCCCTGAAGCCCTCGGAAATCGTCTTCAAGATCATCTTCTGGCTGGGATACTTCAACAGCTGCGTGAACCCCATCATCTACCCGTGCTCCAGCAAGGAGTTCAAGCGCGCGTTCATCCGGCTGCTCAAGTGCCAGTGCCGCCGGCGGCGCCGGCCCATCTGGAGGGTCTACGACCACCACTGGAGAGGGGCCTCCATCAACAGCTCAGTGCAGGACTCAGAGACAGACCTACGGCCCAGGATTAACACCCTGAACAGTTCCTTCATATTTAACTCCTCCTTCCAGGAGAGAGGTGGTAAGAGGCGAACGCTCAGCTTCAAGGGCTGGAAGATGCTGACGCCTTTCCAGAAGCCGGCGTCCACCCAGCTGAAGGAGAAGATGAACAGCCTTTCCAACAAAATCCGGGGTGGATCCAGCAAAGGGGGGGCCACAGCCACCTACAAGACAGAGGTAGAGTCTGTCTCGATTGGGATCCCTCATGATTTCACGGAAACCATCGACTACCAAACCCATGACTTAACAGACTGCTGTGGGCTGAGAGAAACAGATATTTGAAGCCTGTGGGGCAGCTGTCAATGGTTTCTTTAGAGGTATCCAGAAGAAACATGGAGGGATACCACCTGTGGGTCTGTCAGGCAGGCTGGAAGCAGCGATCAGGTATTAAATGCAGTTGCCCAAAGGTTGTCCAAGCGTCCCCCAGGCGGAGCTCAGCCCCTTCTGTGGGGTTATGGGTTCCTCAAATTAGAGCCAATGGCAAATCCCATTCTAACAAGCCACAGCAGGAGGAGAAGGTGTGGATATGACCTTAGGGCAAGAGCTGTCTCCTCTGGTGGATAGTTGTCTTTGGCTTTGGAAGAAGCTGTGCAATTAAGGGAAACCAGGATGTCTCCTTTGCCTTAAAAACACCACAGCGAAACCTAATGGAAAGATTGAATCCCAAAAGTTGCCAACCCTGCCTTAGTAAACGTGCTCATGTCTCCATCCAGAGGCAGCAGCCAGGAAGGACCCTGCCAAGCAGGAGCTGGCAGCTGATCCTTTATGTGGGTGGGTTGGGATCCTGGAGGTCCTGAGCGGGACATCCAGATGAGGCCTTGGCTTTGGAGGGAGAGCAGACTGGGGTATTCCCAAGCAAGGTGGAGGGATCCCAGCTCTCAGTCATCATCTCTGCAGTGGCCACAGCTTTGGCCCTTCCACATCACCTGGTTTTAGGCCAGAGGAGTATTCCAGATGTGCTGCCAGGGGGTGTACAGGTCTCTCTCCTCTAACTCTATCCTGTGAAGCATTTTGCATTTCACTTTCCAGTGAAACACTTGCAACCCACCTTGCTTTAGTGAACATCCATCTGTGACACACAGAGAAACCAGCTCCTTTTGGTGTCAGTCACCCCCAAACCTACCTGTCCCCTTCTTTGCTCTCGTTTTTCTCAAAAAAATGCAGGATAAAAAATGCATCCCAGGGGCTTCACTCAGGACAACAGGAAACAGCCTCAAGTTGTGCTAGGGAAGATTTAGGCTGGATATTAGGAAGAATTTCTTCACTCAAAGGGTGGCCAGGCACAGGACCAGGATTCCCAGGGCAGTGGTGGAGTCACCATCCCTGGAAGTGTTCAAAAGACTGCGAATGTGGCCCTGGAGGAGGTGGTTTAATGGTGAATGGGTGGTGCTGGGTTGACGGTTGGATTCCATGATCCAAGAGGTCTTTTCCAACTGTAATGATTCTGTAATGAAGGTCCTCAGCCAGCCTGTGCTGTGGCTCAGGAAAGGTGGGATGGCTGAGTTGGGAAATTTGCATTTCCACTGCCCATAGAGTCTAAGCTGAAGTGGAGCTGAGGTGCAGCTGGAGCTCACTGAAGTAGAGGGATCCTCTCCCCAGTCAGGGTCACACTCATGATCCTTCTCCCAAGGGACTTCCCACATGCTTCATGCATCAAACTTCTGGTGACTGCCAACAATTGCCTTGGTTGTGCCAAAAGTAATGACAATTAAAGTGGGTTTTTCCCTGCTCACCGTCCCAGAGTGTGAGCACCCCTCGGGAGGGCACCACAGCCTCCTCCAGGAAACTCCAGGATCTGAAGCCATGGCAAGCCCACCTTGACCAGGCAGCTCAGGAAATGGTGACCCAAACTCTGCTTGGCCGTGGATTGCAGGCACTGGTTTCAAAAATCAGAGTGGTTTAATCAAATTCCAGGTAATGAGCCCCAAGGAGTGACCGTTGGGTTAAGCCACGAGCAGGAGACACGCAGGTGATGGAGGCAGAGGAGGGATCTGAGGGGAAGTGCCTCAAGCCAGGGAACTAAAGAACATGAATGGGAAGTCCTGAGGGGTGGAAACACGGCACTGAGCGTGTCCTGGGTGGAAACTGCTCCACACCAGCAGTGCCCCTCAAACCCTTTCATGGAAGCCTTTCATGGAAGTGCCTGCAGCACATCCAGCTCATCCCACCAAGGGTGGCTGCCAAAGGAAGATTAAAGGTGCCAGGCACAGCAAGGAGAATGTCACCTTTCTTTCTGATGTTCTGATTTGCATTAAATGAAAACAGGACAGGAGGGAAGTTGGAATTTTTTGTTGTTTTTTAACTCTTTTGTGCAGTGCATATTGGGACAAGATATCTGGAGCTGGCCCTGTCTCAACACCCTTTACATGATGCAGGACAAACTGGACCAATTATTGCACAAATACCAGCAGATCTTGTCCAGATATTTTCCTCCCAGCAGCAAATCCCAGCACTTACACTGAACTCAGACTCACAACCACCTGCATGTTCCCCAGCTCTGCAAAACCAGCCTGAGGTTGCCAGCTCTGTCCTACCAAAGCAGGGGACTTCCCATCACCCCATGGGAGCTTCTGTGGGGAAATAAATTTTTTTCCCCCGGTTTATTTGGCTCTGAAGGGAATTGAGGCTTTGCAGTGATAATGGGGTGGCACAAAAAGTCATTTTTTAGCGTGAGGACTGCAGCTGCCACTGGTTTCCTGGGTGTTTTTGGGATCCTGATGGGAAGCGCTGGGGATGTGGCAGAGAAGGGAGCAGGGAAAGGACACCCATGACCAGACAGACAGACACACTTCACTGTGTTTATATAAATGTGTCATTTCCAAAATGCCAGGCATTCTCCTACAAATGGGCAAACATCCCTCTATAAATGAACATTTAGCAAATGCTGGCAAGCAGTGCACTCCCATAAATGAGCTGGTATTATAGCTGACACTTCTCCCTGACCTTTTCAATATATTTTTTCTTTTTTTTTTTTTTCCAGTATTGAAATATTTATATTTACAGCCTCCAGCTCCTTGAAAGCTTTTTGAGAAGGAAAAAAGGAGGTTTGCTGCCTCTCCATCCCAAGTCTTTACAGACCAACAAGGGAGAAAATAAAGTCAGTTCAAGCACACACAAGGCACACACACACTCATGAATGCCCAGATTCTGGCTCAGTTACTCACTGTATTTGATCTGGCCCCAAGAGATGCCCTGGAAGGAGCTGTAGGAAAGCCTTGAGCTCTGCTGTGCTGCATTCAGGCAAAATTCTTGGTTTTCACCCTGCTTTGATTTGGCATCTTGCATCAGAAATAGTGCCAGGACTGGACTCTGAGGCTGCTTATGCAGAGCTTCCTTTAGAGGAGACAGGGCTGTCTTTGCTGGCAGGGAGGAAGGAAAACTTGTATGAAATATGACCTGAGTGTCTGGAATTGAGCATTTTTCCTTGAATCCCCTGATTTCCAAGCTCTCCCAAGTTTGGAAAAACGGGCTCAGACTTTCAGGAGGTAAATTCAGTCCAATCCCACAGATTTCCCTGGATCCACAAGGGTGTGACCAGCGGAGGGAATGGCCCTGTTCCAGCAGGTTTTCCAGGCAGGCCATTTCCCAAAGCACCTGCACCTCAGTTATCCATCAGATCCCACCTCATTGCACTGGCTCCACGTCACAATTGCATTCTCAGACCTTGCTGCTCCAAGGAACCAAGGGTTGGGGGTGGAAAATGAGATTTTGTGTCACTGGACTCTCCCAGGTCCACGAGGGAAGGAAGGTCCCTGCCAGCCTGAGCTGGGCTGCAGCTGGGTTGCATTACTATTGTTTACAGTGTGTATATAAGTGTACATTTTCTTTAGCAGAACGTTGGAAATTTTTTATGTATAGATTTTTATTTTTCATCCCCAGATGTATTTATTAGCCGGAGTATTTCTGTTTTGTGTTTCAGGTTCTGCCAGATTGATGTAAGCTCTATGAAACAGAATGCACATATTTTTGTTTGTTTGTACCAAATACATGCACAAACCTGTCTAAAATGTTGCTGTAAATTGTTGCTGTGTCTGATTTTTAAAACAAGGGTTATAGGGGATGAAGGAGGGAGGAAGAAAAGCCGGAAAATTATCCACTCTTGCTTATTTCTCTAAGACATTATTTTTGCAATTTCACAGGGATAATCCTTCCCACTTGGAAGAATTAATGATAAAAGCAAGTCAAGAGAGGACACTCAGTTTCTTGACACACAGGCAGGAAGGGATTGCACCAGCCACATCCAGAGAGCGGGTTTGGATTAGATATTAGGAAAAAAATTCTTCCCAGGCTTTCTAGGGAGGCCCTGGCACAGGGAAGCTGTGGCTGCCCATGGGTTCCTGGAAGTGTCCAAGGACAGACTGGATGGGCTTGGAGTAACCTGGGATAGTGGGAGGTGTCCCTGCCCATGGGAGGGGGTGGAATGAGATGAGCTTTAAGGTCCTTTCCCACACAAACCATTCTGGGATTCTTATTTAAATGATGCATATGTAGATTGGAAAGGGAAAGGCAAAAGGGAAAATCAAAAGGAGATCTATCATGAAAACACTGGATCAATATTTGATAGCAGCCAGAGGGGAAAATTATTTGGGGGAAGAAATGGAGACTGGAAGAGATTGAAATTGACCTTGAAAATATCTTTGCACCTCCGAATATGTGTCATTTGACTCCTGTTTGCTTTTGGGATTGTTCAGTTCAAAAAAGGTAGAATGGATTTAGAGTGGACCAAAGCTACAGGACAGTTTCCATCCAAGGAACATTTAAATCAAATGGCACTCTGATAACTGAGAATCCAGGTCTGTAAAACCGGGAGTGCTGGGGAGAAGACGAGCAGTGAATGTTCACTGCCTCTCCTGGTACAAGAACTAAGTGACATCAAACCCAATTATCAAAATGAACCCAGTGAGCCAGGTAATTCTTCTCATGGCTCATTTCTGAAGGGTGGAACTCATCACCACGAGATATTGCATCTGTCTGTAGGGGTTAGAACAGCAATTAGGTGCCTTGGTGACAGATAAACCCATCAAGGGCAGTTGGAAGCATTTATATAATCTCTGAGCTGAGAAATCCCTGAGGCAGCAATTGCTGTCAGCTGGGAGGATATTTCAAGGGATATTTCACTGTTGTCTTTTTTTTTTTATTTTTTCTCTCCTCTATCCCTTCTGAATTTCAGAATTCAGAGAGGGGACTCAGAATGAGCCAGGCTCTGGGAAGGTCCAGCCCTGTCTGCGTCCCTTCCCTCTGCACACTGGCAGCCCATCCCTGCCAAAATTCCACCCTGCATT